AAATAAATAAATAAATAAATAAATAAATAAATAAAATAAAAGTTATAATAGATATAGTAAAATGGAAAAAAAACTTGTACTTAAGGATTAAACAACAAAGAGGAGAGAAAGGAGAAAAGATAGGAAAAAAGAGAAGAAAAAACATTCAAGTATCTGAGATAAACATACTAATAATTTCCATCTGTTTTTTTGAAAACAGCAGTTAATGTTTAGAATTTTCACCCTGACTAACTTTGTATGTTGATATCTGTGATCTAAACAACTACATCGAGGACAGTAATGTGTAAAACAAAAACCATGGTTGAATACCACTCATGCTGGTCTTCTAAACCTGTACCAATTCTCATGTCTTATCAATTGTTATTATACTCTCTGTAAAATAAACTTTAAAGACAAGAAAATAGAAAAAATTAAGGTTTCTTGAAAGCAAGTGCTAATAAATTATTTGTTCAACCTTACATAACTATTTCTGTTAATCTCCACAACAGATCTGACAATAAAAGTAGATAACATAATAACCACTGTTAACTAGCTATTCTTGTTTCAAAAATCTGTAGCATATGTATCACTGTATGTTGTCCTACTTCTGCCTTTGTTTCTGCTATTTGTTTTTGCTCTTCAAAATAAAATAAAATTAAGATTTTAAAAAATCTGTACTAAAACTTTACTGGGCCTTTTTCTTTGGGGAGGCTTTCTGAAATCGCTACATTCTTTCCAAATTTTAATCAACTTTCACTCCTATCACGTAAGTTATACAGAACTGCAGGCTAATTTTGAAAAGTAGTTGCTAGACTACAAACACGTTCAAGGATGGTAATAAAGGAGATGCAATCACAGCAATTCTACAAGGTTGAAAAGTTTCCACTAAGACTCATGTTAAAATTTAAACCCACATGTGTGGTAAATATTAAGTTACAAAGTGGTATTTCTGATACATAGATTTTAAGTTGCAAAGTCATACTCTGATGCACTACACAAACACTGGCTTTGGCAGCACACATACACAGCTCAGAAGTTCTGAGAGTCAATGTGGAAAAACAGAAAGATTTTAGGCTTTCTTAAACCAGACTCTATTAAAAGTTTCAGGACAAAATTTTCATGACAGCATTGTTTGACCTAATAATGTTTTAGAAAATACACACAAGCAAAATTAGTAGGTACAGCCTCTATTAACAAAGACAACATATGCTTGAAGTTTCACATATGCCTAAACTTGTGTAAGGATCATGTGTCGAGTCTCCGTCTCCCTGATTTTGTTCATTTACTGCTAAAGTACCTTTGTTATTTAAGCATATGCAAATTTGCTAAAAAGAAAAATACATACATACATACATACACATATATATACATACACACACACACACACACACACACACACACACACACAGGTGTGATGGTCCACATCTGTTAATTCCAGCATGGGAAGACTAAGGCAGAAGGATCACCTCAAGTTTGAGGCCAGGCAGGGCTACACAGTGATTTCAACACCAGCCTCAACTACATACTGAAACTGTCTCAAAAATGAAAACAAAGAAGTATATGGAACCAAACAAACAATTAACTTTAAAAAAATGAAACTTAATCTTTGCATAAAGTATTAAGAGATGGAAACACATGGGCTCTTTAAGAGGCATTTAGGTTATGAGGGCTCTGCCCTCACAAATGGATTCATGGATTCAAGGATTAATAGGTTAACAGGGATCATAAGAGATCTACTTAAAACATCAGTTTGCTGCAGTCTCTGGTATGTGCCCCTCATCGTGTGATAATAGGCTCCACACAGGACTCTGCAGAGAACTTCAACCAGCAAGGAGGCCTTCACTAAAATGCAGTTCCTTCATCTTGCATGTGCAGCTAACAAAATTGTATACTTTTATTCCTTATAAAGGTCTATACCTTTACCTAGTCTATGGTATTCAGCCACAGCAACAGAAGACCAACTAAACCAGAGCTCATAAACTCAGATGCTGGCACTGTCACTGATTTACTGTCCCAAGGCATTAAGAAAAAACACCCTCGCTTTATTCAAGTATTACAGGGAATAATGTTTCCAATGTGTGCCACAGTAATGTAGAATGAACTGCTATCATGTACAGCTGGAAGTACTTTGGAAATAAACAAGTAGGTACATGATCAAATAAAGACGGAATCTGAGTACCAAAAGTTAGCCACAGCTGGACTGAACTGAGCTACCTCATAGGCTGAGAAAACATCATGAGTCCAAAGCCAGACAAGGCAACTTCAAACTTAAAATTTTTTTAATTTTAAAAGGGCTGACCAGGAGCCGGGGAGATAGTTCAGTGGAATAAGCACTTGCCTGGCAAGCGCAAGGACCTGAGTTCAATCCCTGGTTCTGCCAAAAATAAATAAATAAATAAATAAATAAATAAATGGGCTGGGGATGGAACTGAAAAGTACTTGCCAGCATATGCAAGTTCCTGGGCTCAGTCTCCAATACTGCAAAAGAAAACCACATACTATCTTTCCCCCAATTTTCTTTTTACAGCTATGTATCCTTAAAATAGTACTGCTCAAACATTAGCACACTCTAGAATCACACTGAGAGCTTACAAAACACAGATCCCTGGGCTCCACTCACAGCTTCTAATTCAGCAACTTAGGGATGAGACTCAACAACGTGCTTTCTGACAGACAGACTGGAGCCACAGACCAGTCTTAAGAGCAGCAAAGTTCTCAACAAGATACAGGGACTCATAAGGATGATCTGCCTTATTCGAACAACCACCAGGGTATTAGGACTCAACCCCAACACAACAGTGAGGTTAGTTTTAGGTTTCTGATATAGAGTCCTGTGGTCATATTAAGGGTTATTATAATAGTTACACTGTGTCACAGATAATCACCTCTCCAGTTTGCCTGTCATGATCCATGCAGGGCTGCCCATCTTTTGGAGAATAAATAGTATACCTAAAAAATAAACAATTAGCAACAAATATTATACTACTCAAATTATATCCTAACATATTTGCCACTGGTGCTCCTAACACCTGTAAGTATGTCTTGTATTAAAATTTCTAAAAAAAAAAAAAAAAAAAAAAAAAAACTTCTAATGGAGCAAATGTCTACATCTATTATTCACACTTTTATGAGTAGTTCTACTGTCCATCTAGTTACTGATGAAATGGTTCTACCTCCACCAAAGGTAATACTATTGAAAAACATAAACTTATCTTGGCTTTGTAGTACAAAAATAAAGATTATAAAATATAAATTCATTTATGAAATGTAAATAGCTTTTATTTAATGTACATAATCAAGGAAGAATCTCGAGTAATTTCTAGAACAAAAGAATAAAACACAAATAAATATTTTTCTACTTAGGCTAGGAATACCAGGCAGAATTTTTAATAAGATCATAAAAGCCTATAATTCCATTCTCCCTGGTTCTATTCATCACAAAAACAAAGCAGTTTTGAGTAAGAACTAGCAGGAAAGCAAAGGGTAAGAGAACAAAAATAAAGACATTATAGAAAGAGATAGAAAAATAGAAAAAGGTAGACTATGGGTACTAAAGCATAAGTAAAGAATTGTATGTTTTTTGCTTGATAATATTGATGGACAATAAGCTCACCGCTTTCCAAATTTAATTTTGTTTCTTTCTCTTAAAGTTAAAAATTGCCACCTGACAAATGAATCATAGTAAGGATTAACATCAGTGGTAATGAAGGAACGCCGCCAGTCTACCTATAAAAAGAAAAGGAAAAGGCAATTATGAGAAATAGATAAAACTTTTAGAAATACAAATTTCTGGCTAGGCTTAAAGGAAGACACCTTTAGAAAACTTTAGTTTCTTCATAGTTTTTAATTTTTGTATTATTGTTAATCTATCAATACATACTCCAGCACTCAGGAGGCTGAGGCAGGAGAATCACCACAAGCTTGAGGCCACCTTGGGCGACACAGTGAGTTCAACGCCAGCCTGAACTATATAGCAAGACCCTAGCATGAAAAAATAAAAATAAAACAAAACACATTCCTATGAATCAATTACTTACTCTCATGATAAATATTCCCAAACTTAGAATTTATCAAATATTAAAGGAAATTTTTCAAGTTTCACTTGTAACATAAACATATTAATTATTCTAATAATTTAAGTCTGTATTTACATATTAATAAACATACCTGAATTATAATAAAGACAAGGTAGTTATTCCTATATACTCAAGTTAAACTTTAGTTTCTTCGTATTTTTTAATTTTTCTATTATTAATCTATCAGTATATACTCCATTAAGACAAATAAATATTGAAGTGCTTCACTGCTCACATGAGGTCTATTTTACATACAAATGGATATTATTATTCTAAATTTAAGAGTTGGTCCAAATCTTTTTTCACACAAATATAAATGTCTTCTTTATATTTTAACCATGAAGGCAATGAGCATACCTTCAAGCCTATTCTCTTCAGATCTTGAATAGCCAGTGGTGGGAAATAATCAAGCCAATGTTCTGCTTCAGAAAATTTTACAATCTCTTCATCAGACAGTCCAAGGGATTGCATAATGCCCCACTGGTATTTAGAAGATCCAGCTTTAGCAACAGCTTTACTCTGAAAACAATAGGTAAAATCAAAATTAAACAATAACCAGCCGCTTAACATTCTAGGACCACAGTGATTTCATTTCAAGTACATACTCCAATTTAGTAGTTTTTTAAATTCCAAAGCAGTGTTGCAACATCAGAACACTGTAGGAGTTGAATGCACTACTGTCTATGGAACCATACCATCAAACTATTTATCAGGTAACTTGTACAAACAGTACTAAATAGATGAAATCACAAAAACTACCAGCTGTGAAGGTATGATCTCAATACCAAGCTTTCTGTTCCCTTTTTCTAATGCAACACTCTTTTGTTAAGCTATATATACATCAGCTACTCTCAAGAGTACCATCCTTTCCCAATATTTAACAATATCAAATACAAAACCAAATGCCAAGAATTGGTGGTAAGACATGAAGTTAATATATGAAACTATAAAAGACACCGCAAAGCTATTCAGGGCAAGATGAAATTATTGCTTGGTACTAGGATGGTAGAAATATGAGCACACAGTTCTCAAACTGACAGATCTCTACACTCATGGAGAGTAAATCCTACTGTAAGCTTGCACCCTGTTTGCAGGAACCGAATCCAGAGTCTTACAGGCAGCACTATGCCACCGATCTCCTGCTCAGCCTTTTTTTTGAAGCAGGGTCTCACTAAACTGCGCAGGGGCAACCCATTTAGACCCCTACCTGTCTCTTAGGAGCTATTTCTTTTTTTAATTTTATTTATTTATTTATTTATTTATTTATTTATTTATTGGGTACAGGGTTTCACTACTCAGCCCAAACTCATAGTGATCCACCTCTCTCAGCCTCTGCAGCGTTGGGATTACAGGTGTGTGCCACCAGGCATAGCATGGGGTACAGGGGACTGAACTCAGATCCCTGAGCTTGCCAGGCAGGCACTTAGACCACTGAGCTATCTCCCCAGCCCTTCTTAGGAGCTATTTCTATGCCCCATTTCCCTACTCCTATTTCTTTTCTCCAATAAATTTTTCTGCTCTTAACCTCCACTGTTCCTTAGAATTCACTCCACTTCAGGGGACACGGAACTCAGAGGTGACATCTAGGATTTCACCTCTATCATCTTGGAGGTTCCACTGTGATATGTGGAGAGAGAAAAGGAGAACTCAGTGTCAGAAGCGCTTACTCCTTCAAGAGGTATTCCTAAGCACTGGAAAATGTTCAACCCTTACATGTTGAAAAAGCAATTTATTATTTTTCTGCACCCACATGTGGCCTGTCTACCCTCTAGAGCCAAGATGGAATGCAGAGGACTCAACTACTAAAACAACCATGGTTAATAAGGAACAACAGTCCTCTGCCTATGCTTTGTATTTCAAAGTGCTTGCTATTTAGAAGCTGCCAAGTGATCATGCACATGGAACCAATGACAAATATGCCAGAGTCCTTTTCTGGGACCCACCAGATCAACCTCATAAAGAGTTTATAACTGCTAAACTTCTATGTGAGGTCCATTAGATTAGTTCTCAGAGAAGATCCCCGACTGCAGTTTTCCCTACACCAACCCTTCTCAGGTTGAAACCGATGGAAACTATACCTCTTGCCCCTAACCATAGTTAGGGATACCTCTTCAAATGAAGGAATATTACAGAGAGCTAAGTTAGGTAGAAATACAGTGGGCAGTCAGACAGGGCTGGGCCCTCAAGGGAGTTGGTGCAGGAGATGAGAATGCATCAGGACCATGGCAGAAGGAGCATCTGAAGATTATAAAGTTATAAGGGCTATGTTTACACACTTCCCTAGGGGACAAAGGGAGGCTTGGGATTACTGTCAGCCTTTTGTGATTTCCCATTAACTCACTAGAAGTGGGCCATCCTCTCCCACCTAAGACTAACACTGATAAAACTAAAGCCAAGACTAAGACTTCCGATTACTGACCAAGGTTAATGATGTCACCCATGTAAGCTTGCTACCCCTGGATCAATATGACCTAAGCAACTATATTCATAATCTTATTGGATGATTATAATCTCGATCCATGCTGTACCTGCCTCAGGATTTTGCTCTATAAACTTCCTTTGAGAGTGGGCTCATGGGTGACCCACTTGGGCCCTCTCCTATCTCTCAGGAGCTGGTCCTAGTCCCCATTCCCTTACACCTCTTCCCATTCCTCTTCAATAAACTTTTCTTCTTTTAAAATTAATTGATTAATTGCCCAGGCCAGCCTCAAACTTTTTTTTTTTTTTTCAGAACCGGGGATTGAACTCAGGCCCTTGCGCTTGCCAGGGAAGCGCTTATTCCACTGAGCCATCTCCCCAGCCCCCAGCCTCAAACTTGTAATGCTTCTGCTTCAGCCTCCTGATCAGCTGGGATTACAAGCATGCACAACACCCATTTGTATGTTTATTTTTTTAAGAATTTTTTTTAAATTTTTATTTGTGTGTGTGTGTGTGTGTGTGTGTGTGTGTGTGTGTCCAGCTCAGCCCACCAGGGGGCGGGGCTGGCTGGCATGTGATCCCGGGGGATTGAACCTCGGTCCCTGTGCTTTGCTAAGCTTGTTCTAAGTAGGTGCTTTAGACCACTGAGCCATCTCACCAGCCCCTCCCATTTGTATATTTTTAAAAAATTGTTTTACTCCAACTAGGATGTGAGGGGAGTCTAGGATGAATGGCCAACCCTCACAAATATACCTAACTATATTAAAAATACTTGAAATACCCACACTAGAGAGGATGGAGAAGGGGTTGACCAAAGCATTTTGGGGAAGTATGTGGACTAGACTCTAAAGACAAAAAAAAAAAAAAAAATCAGTGTACATACAAGCACTTTAAGGGCCCAGGGAGATGGCTCAGTGGAATAAGCACTTCCCTGGCAAGCGAAGGGCCTGAGTTCAATCCCTGGTTCCGTAAAAAAAAAAAAAAAAACAACAAACATACAAGCATTTCAATTGGTAACACTGTTTTCCCCAGGGGAATAGGTCAGCAATTCTGAAACTACTTATTAGTATGCCAGGGTAAAATAAATAGCTGAGTACACTGTAGATAACAAGAAGCAGCCTCTATAGTAAGAAATCACACAAACAAGCAAAGGGAAAATGCTAAAACAAGTCCTTGATGCTAAAATGAAGCTGAAGGTATCTGTGTGAACTAATGGGCCTCGAAGCAATGACATCAGAGCAGCAATGAGCACACCTAGCACTCAGACTTTCTGAATATTAGCCTTCAATAAAAGGAATCCAGGACTCTTAGAGAAGTGTTTGATTTCAGGGCTGAAACAGGAAAAATGTAAGACAAGCCTGAAATACCTTGTGGTACCAGAAAAAAAGAGGGTTTTTTTGTTTTTGTTTTTTTAAAAAAGAAAGAAGCTAGGCCTAGTGACACACACACATCTGTAGTCCTAGAAATTGAGAAATGTTGAGGCAGAAAAATTGTAAGTTCAAGGTCAGCTTAGGCAACTTAGTGAGCCCATCTCCCTCAAAAAAAGTAAAAAGATCTAGGGATGTAGCTCAATGAAAGAGTATTTGCCTAGTATGTGTGAGACCCTGGGTTTAATCAGCACCAAGAAAAGAGGATGCAGAGGGAAAGAGAGGGGAGGGGAAGAAATACAACAATACCAAAGGGATCAGAACCAATCTGGCAGAAATCTCAACAGCCAAAGCTATTTTTTTTTTTTTTCCAGAACCAGGGATTGAACTCAGGCCCTTGCGCTTGCCAGGGAAGCACTTATTCTACTGAGCCAACTCTCCGGCCTACTACAACAATTTTGATAATAACTGCTACTGTGCATTTGCACATGTGTGCACATGTGAACACACACACACACACAACACACACATAACTCCCACACTTTGAAAGTATTAAATTATAACCCAAAGACTAACATAAAACTCCATGCATAAATTCACACTGATATAAAATAGACTAAGGGCCAGCCAAATAGCTCAGCGGATTAAAGCACCTGCAAGCAGGCACAGGGGGGCCAGGAGTTCAATCCCCAGGCCTGCCCTGCTGGCCCCACCCCTGGGGCACACTGAGACAGCAATTGAGACTGGGCACAGTGGTGCCCACTTGTAATCCCAGTTCTTGGGAGGCTGTAAACAGGCGGATCACTACGAATCCAGTCTAGGCAGTGAGACCCTGAACACCCTATAGACCCTTCCCTAAAATACAAAAAATACATAAAAATAAAATGACTGAATAAGTACATGAGGAAGAGAGAATAATTCTTCTTTTCAGAATTCTATACAGTAATATTTAAAAAATGAAGGAAATAGAAAAACATCCCTTACAACAAAGTAGTAATTGTTATAAACAATATACACTGATGAATGCTAAAATGAGAAAATTATTTTAAAATGGGATAGTATGTCCATAACTTGAAAACACCTCTCTCAAAGTATATATTAATTACAAAGAGAAAAATAAAATACAGTAAAAAAACCATGGTGGACACCATCTTAAAAGATTAAGGTTAGTATTACCAATAAATCCTATCAAAATCACATACTTGGGGCCCGGGAGATGGCTCAGTGGAATAAGCGCTTCCCTGGCAAGTGCAAGGGCATGAGTTCAATCCCTGGTTCCACAAAAAAAAAAAAAAAAATCACATACTCCCTGATATGATGCATAAGGATACATCAAATCTCTGACATTCCTCTGAAAAAACAAATAATGCCAACCTAACAAGATACAGCATCAGATTAACCTAAATGAAAAGACAATTTACATTATGATTTAAAATGTATGCCCTGGGGGCCTGCCGTTTAGCTCAGTTTAAGTGCCTGCTCATGCAAACACAGTCAGGCACAGGACAACACGGTTCGATCCCCAGCTCCACCTGCCTTACCAGGCCCGCCCTTAAGGCAGCCTAAGCCAGAAAAAAAAAAAATCCCTCTCAACTTTTGGGCCAGCCAAATAGCTCAGCGCATGGTGGCGCACACGAGCACCTGTAATCCCAGCTCTTGGGAGGCTATAAAGAGGTGGATCACTACAAGTGTGATCTAGTAGTGAGACCCCGAACACCCTGTAGACCCTTTCCTAAAAATACTAAATAAATAAATAATAAAATGTATTCCCCAAAGTGTGTGTTAGAAAGTGAAACCCCTGTGTAACAGTATTAAGAGTCAGAGACTATAGGCCAGTGATAGCAAACCTTTTGAAGTTCTCAATGATAACAAGTGGCCTTCTGTAGCACATGTACCACCAGTTCACCACTACTGCCATGAGGTCTCTATTCCCATGAGTGGATTGATGCCATTATGAAAGAAGTAGGCTCTTTATAAAAGGACAAGTTTCACTACCTTTTACACATATCTGTGTCTCTTTGTCCTTCTATCACAATGATACAGAAAGAAGGGCCTCAGCAGATGCCTTCCTTAACCTGGAAGTTCCCAGGCTCCAGAACTTAGCCAATAAACTCCTGGTGACTATAAATTACCTTATCTAGGTACTCTGTTACAGCAGCACAAAGTAGATGAAGAATAAAAACATCTGTCTGAATGGTATTAACAAGTATCAAAAGTCACACAAGATTGAGACAGAAGACTAAGGAGATGCCCACAACAAACAAATGCACTGTGGGATCTTAGATGGGACCTGGGAACAGGAAGGATTTAAGAAAAAAAAAAAAAAAAGGTACAATATAAATGAAGTCTGTAGTTGAGTACATAGTTTTGTACTAACATTAATTCCTTAGTTTTGAGGACATCAGTTGTGTAAGCTATAACTGGATAAAGGAAGTGAGTGATGATTTTAAGGGAATTATTTGTACTACTTTGCAACTCCTCTATAATTCTTAAGCTACCTTAAAGTGAAAGGGGGAAAAGTGATACTTTTTGGAGCTGATACTTCTTTCAAATTACCACATACATTTAATTTACTCAGCATTATACTATGGGAGCACACACACAGGTCAGACAAATACAAGCTAGATGTGGTGGCACGTGCCTATAACCCCAGCTGTTCGGAGGCTGAAGCAGGAGAATTAATCTGAGCCCAGCTCAGGCAGGGCTGCAAAACCCTTCTCAAAGTACAAAATAAAAAGGGACAGAGCTCAGTAAGAGTGCTCGCTTCACATGTGGTAGAGTCCATACCCAGCTTCACAAAAACTAGTAACATATATAAATCAGACAAACATTAAAAACTTCAGCCAACATAAAAAGCAGCATTCACCAAACCTTTTTTCCTTTAGCTTTATCCTTAATTACTATATTTTCTGTTTTAACACTGATTTCTTCCTCCTCTTCTTCTTCATCTGGAAAATCAGGAGGGCAACCATACAGTTCAATTTCTCTTTTCAATTTATCAGCACATGCCTAAAACACATTAGAGATAGTGAAGCTCAAATTCCAAGAGAACAGTTTGAGTTTTTGCTTCTACAGCCAATTAAAATTAACTCTGAAATTTTCTCCATAATATATAAACATATATATATATATATTTAGATATACATCTCTCCAAATGGCATAAAATCCACTAATCATAAGCCACTCAGCAATCATTTGTTCAATACCAAGTACTCAGTGGGATGTACTACATGCTAGACACTAGAAATAGGAAGATACATAAACCATTACAATTTATTTTGAATAACATTAATAACACTTTCTCAATTTAAAAAGTACTGCCTTTGAGGCCAGGTATAGTTGCACATGCCTATAATCTCAATACTCAAGAGATTGAGGCACTGCCACAAATGGAGGACTGCCACGAGTTCGAGGCCAGTCTGGACTACAGAGTAGTGAGTTTAAGGCCAGCCTGAACTATAAACTGAGACTCTGTCTCAAAAAATAAATAAATAAATAAATAAATAAAATAAAAAGGTATTTCTTCTGTAGTGGGAGTTAAATTCATATGTTCTTTGTATGTTCTATTAGTTATTAACTAAATGTGGCATGTGATCCACAAGAGAAAAAAGTAAAAATATAACTAGGAAGGATATCTTGGGGCCATTAAAGAAACTTGGCTGAAGCCTACATAAAAATGGCAGTATCAGATCCATGCGGATGTCCTGAAGGGGACACTAACTGCACGATGCAGAATGCCCTACTCATAGGAGACACTCACTGCACTACTCACGGGCACCACCGTGTCTCCAATTTATTTTCAAAAAATGCATCGAAAGAGACAAGAAATCATATGCACATGTGTTTGTAAGGGGCAAAAAAAACCTAAAGGAAATGTGGTAAAAGTTAATACTTGGTAAACACAAGGTAAAACTTGGAAACTACAGATGCAGAACATGTTACCTGTTACCTTGATGCTGATTTAACAGCTTGCAAAATAACGAATTGGAGATTAAGAAGAAACTGCTAGTCCTATTTAACTGCTAGTTGCTATCTATCCAGAGTTTTCCATGGTTTTCTAGTAGGTCTTCATTGAGAATTATTTCTAATGTAAATTCAGAACAAATGAAGGCATTTGTAAAAGTGATCAAAACATGGTATGATTGATCATGACAATATTCTGTTTTATTATTTTTTAATTTTAAGTATTTGGTACAGGGTCTCACTACGCAGCTCTGACTCATAGTGATCCTCCTGTTTTCAGCCTTTCCAGTGCTGGGATCACAGGTGTGCGCCACCACACCTGGTCTTGGGTGACTGGCTCAGTGCACCTGGGGGATGGGGCTGGCCCGCTATGTGATGCCTGGGATTGAACCCTGCTCCCTCAGTTTGCCTAAGCAGGCGCTTAGTCCACTGAACAATCCTGCCGGCCCAATCATGGCAATATTTTGTACATCAAAAATACACAAATCAAAAAAAAAAGAAAAAAAAAACACAAATCACTGTACATTTTTAGTCAAAAATTATTACCCAGTTCCAAAAAAGAAAAAGAACTATTATCCAATTCCAACAAACTTAAATATATAACATATCTAAAAGAAATCAAAATTCCTTAGATATTACCTATGACCTTAATTGTATGCATTTTTACTTCTTCAAATGTATTTATTTATTTTCAAATATTGTTAAATTAATTTCCACTGGGGGCTTGCCGGATAGTTCAGTTGTTTAAAGCGCCACATGGGCAATTGCAGTCAGGTGCATAGGGCCGAGTTTGGATTCCCAGCTCCAGAAGCTGCACCAGGAGGCTGAGGAGATAGCTCAGTAGAATGAGTGCTTGCCTGGCAAGTGCGGGGTCCTGAGTTCAATCCCCGGTACGGGAAAAAAAAGAAGAAGCTGCACCAGATCTGCCCTGAAGACAGCCTGAAGTAGCAAAAAAAAAAAAAAAAAAAAAAAAAACCTTCTTAATCCTTCTTCACTATAAAAAACAACCCATTTTACAAAGGTTTGGCAGTGTTAAAAAAAACTCCTATTTAAAACCTTTAAGTTGGGGCTGGTGAGATGGCTCAGTGGTCTGAAGCACCTACTTACAACAAGCTAAGCAAAGCACAGGGACCGCGGTTCAATCCCCCAGCACCACATGCCAGCCAGCACCGCCCCCTGGTGGGCTGAGCTGGACACACACATAAATAAAATAAATAAATTTTAAAAAAAATAAAAATAAAACCTTTAAGTTGGATATTACTTTTTGCTTTACAATAGAGTACAGCTGGACATGGCAGTGCACACTAGTAATCCCAGCAGTTGGAAGGCTGAGGCATGAGGATGGCAATGAGTTCAAGGCCAGCCTGGGATAGCCCGAACTGCACAGCAAGACTGTCTCAAAGACTAAAATAAAGTAAAATTAAAGTAAAGCAAAATAAAATAAAATAAAAAAGAGTACAAACCAACCTTATAAGTAATCTTACCTTAATAGGCATCCCAGTACAGTGTAAGCCAAAAGGAAATAGACAATGTTTTCCTTTTAATCTCTGGTATCCTACTGCAAACTACAGAAAGAAAATTAAATTTAAATTAAAAAGATAAATGGTAGATGAATATGAAATGCTAACTTTTCAGAAAGAACATTAGTTTTTTCTCTTTGTATCTTTTTTTAAAACACCAACTCAGTTAGGTATGGTTACACACATCTATAATCCCAGCACTTGGGAGGCTAAGGCAGGAAAATCACTGCAATGCAAGGTCAGCCTGGGATACAAAATAGTTTAAGGCCAGCCTAAACTACCTAATGAGACCTCGTCTTAAAAAAACCAACAAAATACCAGTTCAGATTTTACAGCAGGCTGGTCCAATGGCAGTGGGTTATCAGAACTTATTAACATTAATGTAGTATCATTTGTTTTCCTGTTTTTCCCACTTACCTAGGAACATTGGACACATATATGTCCTGAATCCTGTACAGATACACATTCAACATGTGAAATTAATTTATAAAAATTAAATTAATTAAATATAAAAAAAATTTAAGGAACTCTTAAGTTTTTTAATAGGAAATAAGTTCTATACGTTATTTTCTTCAAAGTAGCATTAAGGACCCTCCATCCCACTACTCAAACACAGCTTTACCTCACACTTGGATAGAGAAAACGTGTGCCCCAAGTGAAGGCGCCCATTCATGTATGGATATGGGAAGGTTACAAAGTACTTGTCCTTGCTGCAAAACAATCAGAAAAGAGAAGAAAATATTAAGTTTACTTTACAATGAAAAATAGGGTAGAAAGGATGCTTGATATACTTCCTTATACTTTAGTCATCTGCATTTAAAAATTTGTAAGTCCAGAAATTACAAGCTCTCTAAAACTGAAACCCGATTTAGAATCATACATTTATAAATACCAACTAAGAAATAAACATCCATGGGGTGGGGAGATAGCTCAATGGAATAAGTGTTTGCCTGGCAAGAGCAAGGTCCTGAGTTCGATCCCTGGTATGAAAAAAAAATAAAAACAAGAAAAAAAGAAAGAAACATACTTTTAGGAAATATTAGGGGGTTAAGTTAAACTAAATTAAGTAAAGAAGATAAAACAAAAAAGGGGGCTGGGGAGATGGCTCAGTGGAATAAATGCTTCCCTGGCAAGCACTAGGCCTGAGTTCAATCCCCAGTTCCACCAAAAAAAAAAAAAAAAAAAAAAAAAAAAAAGTTTAATACTTTTAGGAATTTATACTGATTTAGTTTTTCACTGATTAAATGACATTTTAATTCACTAGAGACATATTGCATGATATATGTAGCAGATTTAGTTAAAGAATACCCTTTTAGCCAGGCATGCGAGATAGCTCAGTGGACTGAGCACCTGCTTAGGCAAGTGCAGGGACCAGGGTTTGATTCCTAGTACCATAGGCTGTGCCGGTCCCATCCTAAGGCGCGCTGAGCTGGCCACTGAGTGTGGGCATGGTGGCACATGCCTGTAATCCCAGTGCTGGGGTGGGGCTGAAACAAGAGGATCACTATGAGGCCATGCTTCATAGTGAAACCCAGTAACAAATACATTAAAAAATAAATAACCTTTTCATAACCACTTAAACTTTTTATGCTATATTTTTTTCTCTAAAGTATATATAATAAAAATGAATATTTAAAGCCAGGTGTTGATGGTATACACCTGTAAGCCCCATATTTATGGGAGGCTGACACAGGAGAATAGCAAGTTCAAGCCCAACCTTAGCAACTTAGCAATTTAGCATAACCCTGTCTCAAAATTTAAAGAAAAGGAGTCAGGGAGACTAGAAATATAACTCAGAGAGAAGGCCCTGGGTTAAATCCACAGTAGTACAAAAATAATCAACTGAACACTGCAACAGCACCACTCAAGTCATGAAGCCCCCAAAGCTACCAATGTCCTTTCTTATCCCCCACCAGACATAACCAGTATCTGAAAGCTGCTTTTGTCTTTCTCTTCCTTTTCACTAGTTGCATGCCTGTCTGTGCAACTGAGAGGGAGGAGTCCTGGTGATCAAATTCAGGACACAGGGTCTCTTTTTCTTTTTGAGACTAGGTCTCACTATGCAGTTCAGGCTGGGCTTGAGCTCACTTTGTAGCCCAGTATGGTCTCGAACTCACAATGATCCTCCTACCTCAGCCTCCTGAGTGCTGGGATCACAGGCATGTACCACCACACCTGGCTAGGACACAGCCTGATTGGGCTTGAGAACTTGCAGTCTTCCTGTGTCTCCTGCCCAGAATGCTAGAATTATAGGTATACCATACCTTGACCAACACTAATTTGCTTTTTATTCAAAATTGTATTACTAGTTTCTTCAGCATTGTTGCATATTCCTACAGTTTATTCTCCTTCACTGAACAAAGTTTTCAGTTCAATTTTGGTTACTTTAAATTACTTTAAAGTTGATCAAAATTCTAGAAGCAAATGCAAGGTTCACACTATAAAGTCACTATCTGGGAGTTTGCATTAAAGAAATTTCTCTCTTTAAAAAATACATACACCCAGGCATGGTAGCACACATCTGTAATCCCAGCACTTGGGAGGCTAAGGCAGAAAGATTGTCATAAGGTTAAGGCCAACCTGGGCTACATAGCAAGACGCTATCTCAAAAAACAAAAAGAAAAGAAAGAAAACACATATGCCATTAGAGTAAGCAAGAAGATAGACTTGGCAGGCAGGAAGCCCTAAGAACAATTCTAGACCCTGTGAATTCCTAGCTATGAAATCTTGAGCTGTTGTTTAGCCTCTGTATCAGTTTCATCTTCTGTAAAACATGAAAAAAAATCATTAATCGTAAAGATTTTTTTTTTTTTTTTTGGCAGAACCAGGGATTAAACTCAGACCTTTGCACTTTCCAGGCAAGCGCTTATTCCACTGAGCCACCTCCCCGGCCCTCGTAAAGAATTATTGAGAAAATTAACAGTATTTCCTACCACATGGTAAGTGCTCAGTGTGAGCTACTACAGGGTTATAGTTAGTACTATTTTTTTTTTTTTTTTTTTTTTTGGCGGAACCGGGGATTGAACTCAGACCCTTGTGCTTGCAGTTAGTACCATTTTTGATCAACCTGACAAAATAATGTTTCTACATTTCAACATTATCTAAAATGAAATATGTCTAAAAATTAATGCATGTATTTATTATGGTAATGTTTAGGGGGACAATTATTACTATACTTCTTAAAAGCAACACGGTATTTATGAAATGAAATTTCCAACTATGGAAACCTTCAAAGTTTTATTTCCTAACAAACTACAGAAATGAGTCCTGAAGGTATAGTATTCAAAGTTCTACTTTTTGTACTGAGTCTAAAGAATAATTTCCTTTCATCAATCAGTCCAGACAAAACTTTTAAAACACTGTTGTCCAGGGGGGCCTGCCCCTTAGCTCAGTTCTTTAAGTGGCTGTTTCAACAAAGCAGTCAGGCTCAGGTTGCTTTGGTTCGATCCCCACAACTCAAGCCAGCCAAACCTGCCCTGAAG